AACTTGCCAATCCTCCCATCATACATAGGGACATTAAATCGACTAACATATTATTGGATCAGCGCCTCACTGCTAAAGTTGCTGATTTTGGTCTTTCCAAGCCTATAAGTGATAGTGTAAAAGGTCATGTTACCACTCAAGTCAAAGGGACAATAGTGAGTGCTTTTATACACCCACTTTAGTGGGATAATAAGGGTTTAATTAGTTTAGTGAAGATTTTTTTACTGTGATAGAAGAATTTGATCATGCCTGTGGTTTTTGTTATTGGTGTAGGGTTACTTGGATCCTGAATATTATATGACCCAGCAGCTAACTGAAAAGAGTGATGTTTATAGTTTTGGGGTGCTTCTGTTGGAGCTGGTAACTGGAAGAAGACCAATAGAACGAGGGAAGCATATTGTAAGAGAAGTGAGAATGGCATTGGATAAGACAAAAGACTTATATAGTCTTCAGCAGATTCTTGACCCAGCTGTTGTGGATACAAGCCTGAAAGATTTAGAAAAGCTTGTGAACCTAGCAATGAGCTGTGTGGAAGAATCAGGAGCTGACAGGCCTACAATGAGTGAAGTGGTAAAAGAGATTGAAAACATCATACAGATTGTCGGGATAAATCCCAATGCTGAGTCAGCCACAAGTTCGTCAAGTTATGAGGAGGCATCCAAGGGAAGTACCCTCCATCCATACAGCGATCAGTCCTTTGCTTATAGTGGTACATTTTCAGTTTCAAAAGTTTGAACATATATTGAGTTTGGGTTTAGTTTAGTTTTTGGAGAATTGAACAGCTTCTATGTCTAGTATTTAGTTTGACAGGACATATATGTGTGTTTATGTGTGTTTTGTATTGTTTCTTTTTCGTTTGCTCCAAATTTAAATGGATAGAAGATTGAAAATTATTGTCATTGTGTAGAAAGACTTAAAATGCTTTTGGAGCTCTATGTCTCTTAATTTTATTTTTGGTGTTTTAAGTATTATTATACTCTCGAAACTATATCAACGCAGAACTATTTCTACTATTATAAAATAATTTTTTAATTCAAATTTTAATTTAATTAATTATATTATTATAAAATAGACAAATTTTTTTTTTTTTCTCTTTAATTTTAATTAGTCAATAACATTAACAACAACGCAATGAAATGATATGAAACACAAACAAACCCTCCTCTACTCTCTATTATTATTGTTCTCTTGGTTCATTGTCTCTGTGAGGCTCTAAGTCTAGGGCTCTGTGATGAGTATCGTAATAATAAGAGAAATAACCTGTAAAATTAAAAATAAAATTGAAACCTCCTTGTTTGCCTCCCGTACCCCACCAACCAGACCTCATCTCTCATCGAGAAACTAATGAAGGAGAATTCTGTCGCATATCATTTTCACAAGTCTTCCTTAACAGTCTTTTATTATTATGTCTTAATACTTTTTTTATTTAATAAATCTATCATTTTGCTTTATTTCTTTTCATTCATTAATTTCAATCTAATATTTTTTACCATCCTTCATTAAATTTAATTCACCTTCCTCTTTTATTTACTGCACATTCTTTTTAGCATGCACTCTTTTTTTTTTCGTTTTCCATTTTACCCCTCGACTAACATCAAACTTTAATTATTATTTTTAATTTAAAAGATATACTTGCTAATTTATGACGATTTTAATTTTTTTAAAAATTTCATTATGATATATGTCTATTGTTGGGAATGGACCCAACATTCAACCTGGATCATGTATAAGAAGCCTAGTCATTTATCTATAAATCCAAAATAAAGAGACATCTATACACTAATACAGACATACCCATGTGGGCGCATGCACGTGAACTAATAAAAGGTTTACATGTGTAGTCTTATGTCAAGAATTTAAATACCCCCAACTACTTCCACTCAAGGTATTAACTCCACTATACTTTTCTCTCTGTAATTACTCTTGAGAGCTTCTCTCTCCAAAATATTGAGTATTGTTGACTTGAGCGTTGGAGTATTTTTTCCAAGGAAACATCTTTGGGATTTTCAGGTGTTAAAGCAGTTGGAGATTTCTATAGTGTAGGTTCGTGAAGCTGTCCAAACATATGGCGCCGTCTGTGGGAAATTGAACAAAAAGTGGTGTAGCTTAACTAGCTGAAGTTAAAGATGATACGTACCTTTATTGGGAATCGCCCTCCAAGAGATGACATGGACGAACAGGATAATACTCAGCCTTTGGAGAGTGACCCAAATGACTTTCAGCCAATGCCAAGGAACCTTTTTGTTAGAGGAGCGGAACAAGAATAGTTGAATAGCTCAGATGATGAATGAACACCTACTGGGTATGCAACCCAGCCTAAAGAACAATTTCACATTCCAGCGGAAACAAGGGGAAGGCATCCCAGATAAAACAATTCACGACCTGAGAGACCCATGGAATTTGCTCGGACGACCAAGCTAGAAGAAAGAATCAGAGTTCTAGAAATGGCAATGGGAAGAATCCTCTCCCGTTTGATCCCTAATGACCCCTTAATTCCTTTGCTGAATAGGGGTGAATTGCCAGCAGTAGAAGTTGCAACCCGCAACTCCCCCGCCTTGAGTAATGTGGTGGTTCCAACCAAGCCAAGGGGAAGTGGAAAATTAAATCCAGAGTCCAGTTCGTCAAAGTATAGTGAGGAGTTAATGAAGAAAAATGCAGAACTCGAAAAGCAACTTAAAGATATACAAAGGTCTGTTGACAAGCTGAAAAGTCCGAGGTCGCATCAACAAGCCTTGGATTTAGACAGCACTCCTTTCAACTTGTCCATTACAACAAAACCATATCAAGAGGGATTCAAGATTTCTCACTTAGAAACATATGATGGTTCTGACGACCCAATCGAACACTTGCACACCTATCAGGCCATCATAAAAATTCAGAATGCTACTGATGCGATGATGTGCAAAGTGTTACCTGCAACGTTGAAGTCCATTGCTAGAAGATGGTACCACAAGCTTCCCAGACACTCCATAGCTTCTTACTCCCAGCTCGCTACTTTGTTCTCTAACAAATTTGCAAGCCAGAGGGAGATAAAACAAATTGCTACCGAGCTAATGCAGGTTCACCGAGGGAAGGAGAATCCTTGAGGAACTATATGCAGCGGTTCAACAAGACCACCTTAGACATTGATAATGTCCCTAATACCATCTGCTTGTCTGCCTTGTTGCACGGCCTTAAGCCTGATTGGTTCCTAGACAACATGTTAGAAAATCCACCAAAGTCATGGAACGAGGTGAATGATAGATTGACGAGCTTCATGATAGATTGACGAGCTTCATTTTGTCAGAAGATTTTCAGTCATCCAAGTGACGAGCTGACGATAAACAAAGTAAAGAGCACAAACAACCAGAAGGAAGAGAAGAAAAGAAAAAGTAGAAAATTGTTGAGCAGAGAGAAAAGCTGCCTTCCTTCCCAAAATATGCCAGCTACATTCCTCTGAGCTCGTCAAGGTCTCAAATCTTGGCACAGATCCAGCATTGGGTCAAGAGACCACCTCCTCCGCTACATGATTCCCCACTAGTAGACAGAAGCAAATATTGTGACTATCATTGTGGGTATGGCCACAATATAGATGATTGTAAGAGTTTGAAGGACGATCTGGATTTCTTAGCTCGTAATGGAAAACTGGAAGGATATGTCCAAAAACCCTACGCCCAACAACCCAGTCAGACTCACTTTGTGCAAGAGTACAGCCGACCTCATGGGCAAGGGTACAAACTCGGCAATAATCAGAATCCATACTAGGGGAATCAATACTCTTCTGAATCTGGCAAAACTTTTGTTGATTTGGGAAATGAGAGATTTCTTCTGCAGTCGTTTTACTTTATCATCTTCATTTGGAGGAAAGGAAACGAAATGACGACTCAATTAATGCTGAATATCAGAAGCTTCTTAGTTAAATGATGGTTATAAACATGATCTTCATTTCTATGGATTGCTCGTTATTATCCTTGCAATTTGTTAAAGTGGTTATTGTGGGTTGCTGGCTGCAACTAGAAATAGGAGCTGATCTACAAAGCTTGCTTCTAAATTCCCATATTCTTTTTGGTACATACATATAAAAAAAAAGTTAGCTGAGTCTTAAGTCTTCAATGCTTGTAGCTTTTAAATTGTTTCGCAATTAAATCTCTTTCAAATTTTGAAGGGTTAAAACTCATATAAACTCCTTTTAGTTAGGACTTAATTGATTTCAAATTGTTGGGAAATCAGACTCCAAAATTCATACGGCCTTATCCAATGAAACTACTTTTATTTTTGATTCTGGTGCAGCTGCTGTTCTAAATGCTCTCAAGGATATGTGCAAGAACTTACCCCTCAATTGGTCGGGCTTAGATCCTTGTGGTGATGGCTGGGTAGGAATTGAGTGCACGGATTCACGAGTCACCTCGATGTAAGTTCTTGGCTAATTTCCACCTTTTGGATGAACGCTTATTATTTCTCTTCAAGCTTCTGAGGATTGACCTATCTTCCATCTGTTGCAGAACATTGGCAAACATGGGCTTGGAAGGGCAGGTGTTTAGTGAAATTCCATCCTTAACTGAACTACAGACTTTGTAGGTCTTCTATCTGAAGTTCACATGGGAATCATTTCAAAACTAACTTCTCATTTTCCTCCATTTAAGACAATAATCATTTATGTGATTGTGCTGCTCAGATTTCTAAAGTTTCATTTAAATCTAAGGCTTAAGTGAAACATATTGTCTTTAGGCATTATATACAAAAAGTTTAGTGGTGATTATAATAGAGAACACGAAGAACATGATATTCTGCTGTTTGTCAGCTAAAATATGCCTCCCAACCTTTTCCATTACTTGGTGAGGGATGTTATAATATATACGTATTGATATATCTCTGATCAAGCTTCTTTATGCAGGGATCTATCTTACAACAAGGGCCTGACAGGTTCTCTTCCAGCATCAATTGGGGATTTAACGAAGCTAACAAACTTGTAAGTCACTAAGTCTAATTAATCTTTTTTTTTTTTTTTTTCGGGTCTTCTCTTTATGGAAATCATATTGTTTACCATTCTCTTCAAACCTGCTTTTGTGCTCCTGAGACAGAAACCTTATTGGCTGTGGTTTCACTGGTGCAATTCCTGACACGATAGGAAATCTACAACAGCTGATCATGTTGTGAGGACTTTTACTCTGATATCAGCTATGATATAACGATTAAACTTGCAATTTTAAATTGCTTGTGTGGTGATCTTCCATTGTTTAATGAAACTTGATGGACAAATTTGTATTGGTTCACTAAGTAATCATAGTTCAGCTCTGCTATGAATTTTATTGATCCTTCAATACTTTTACAAATTTTAATCGGAGTAGTTCCATGCCAGCCAACATCTCTGAAACTCGTCATTGGCTGTAGATCTCTGAATTCCAATCGCTTCAGGGGACAAATTCCACCATCTATTGGTAATCTATCGAAACTATATTGGTTGGATCTGGCTGACAACCAGCTAGAAGGACCAATTCCTGTGTCAGATGGAACTACACCTGGCCTTGACAAGTTGGTCCATACCAGTCATTTGTATGTTACTTGTCTTCCTAATTTTAACTTGTTTTATTATTTTCTGATTCCTTTTTAATAATATCATTTAAAGTTTTCTCCTTTATCCACAATCATTTGGGACAGAATAAACTTTCGGATGAAATCCCGGAGCAAATTTTCAGCTCAAACATGGCGCTGGTACATGTGTGAGTTTCACTTTTGTTTTCTTTAATTATATTTTGACTACAGAAGTACCAGAAAATATATAAGCAGAGGGCTCAAACTTGGGAATTTTCTACAACAAACAAATATTGCCTTCTGAATAACGGTGCTAGAAGCGGCTAGTATTAGCAGCTTGTTTCTAGTTCTTATCTCTTTTAACATGTTTGGTTTGAAGGAAATGAAGGCGAGGGGAGGGGAAGGGAAGGATGAGTTTTTTAACAACTCAAATTATATTGTTTTCAAATATCGCAATTGGATTGGTTAAAAAATTCATGCCTCCCCTCCACTCCCCTCCGTTTCCCTCAAATGTTCTTTTGTTCAATGGAGTAGCAAATCTGCCATTTTCTTCTTTTCTCCTTCCTTTTCAGTTTTCATCAGATGATTCAAATCACAGGCTGGATTATCGTATGTTTGAAAGCTTTCATTTCTCCTCTTTCTGCCAGGTTATTTGACAGCAACAACCTCAGCGGTCCTATCCCTTCAACCCTTGGGCTTGTGCAATCTTTACAGGTGATGTGGGTATCTAGAACACATGCTTAAGCTGATTTGAAATGAGATTACTGTTGGAATTGGATTTCTTTGTGGGTGTGACTAAAGAAGTTATTGTTTTGGTTGCAGACGTTTTGATAACAATTCCTTAAGCGGGAGGTTTCCATCAAACCTCAACAATCTCACAAGTCTTCAAGATCTGTAAGCATGCAAAAGATGGAAGATCTTTGCGTTTATTAGTTTATCTTCTCTAATAGAAAATGTTTTGTGAACTTCTTTTCAGGTATTTGTCTAACAATAACCGGAGTGGCTCTTTACCCTCCCTTACTGGCATGAGCAATCTCAACACCTTGTAAGCACTGCATGCCTTTTACATAACTAAACTACCCCTTTTTTCTTTTGTCTTTTTCTCCACTTTCTATGTGTCTGCAATGCGTGCACTTTATGTTTTCAATTGAAATTATTATTCACCAGGCCTCCTTCAATAACCCTATACAGTTGTCATTGATTTTCATTCTAATAATATGATTGTGTTCTGCAGGGACTTGAGTAATAATAGCTTCAGTACCTCTGTGATTCCTACATGGATTTCATCTTTGCTATCCTTAACAACACTGTATGAACTACTTTAAATGTAGAACCCAAATACTCCCTTTTAGTCTTTTACCATTGCACTTCATTGAGGGCCATATGTTTTGTTAAACTATTGGCGAGAGTATCTTTCCATCCCCAGTGATATTGTTAGCAGCAATATGATGTGTAATCCCTGAATGTGTTTTGTCCCACTCCCTTTTTCCTTCCCTCTTTTCCTTGCTTTCTCACTTTGTTTTTTGCATGTTCATGGACACAAGCCCATATGCCTGCGTTCATACACATTGACTGGTTTCCTTTCAAGTTAAGTGAACAATTGATTTCTTTGCAAGGCAGGAGGATGGAAAACACTCAACTTCAAGGTCGAGTTCCTGACAGCCTCTTCAGCCTTCCAAATTTGCAAACTTTGTGAGTATCAGCTTCACTTCATGAACTACCATTCCTTGTCCTGGATGTTCACAACTCTGGTGAAACATATCCTGTTGATCCAAACCATGGAGATGATAGCTGGAGGCTAATTATTTCTATCGTTGTCACATTGTACAGGGGGCTAAAACGTAAACAGCTAAATGGTACCTTGGCTATTTAGTAACCAACTGCGCCTCATAGATTTGCAAAATAATTTGATTAGTGTGTTCAATGGAATAGAAGCATATTACATTCAGATAATGTGAGAGAGTCATTTCTTCTGGCTTTTTATTCTCCATTAATTTGTTTTTTGCTTAAGAACTTGGCTCTTATTACTTGGAGGACAAATTGCCTTTAGATGTATTCTCTTTAAGTGTTAAAGCTTATGAATGTCTTTCTTGGCTCAATAGATTTAATTAATTTTATGCAGAATTGGTGATAACCCTGTTTGTGAAGCGATAGGAGTAGCGAAAACTAACTGTGTGGTTCCACAATCAAATTCCACTTCCTTGTGTACTACCCCTCCCAGCATTTGCCTGCCTGCTACATGTAGTTCAGACCAGGTTTCTAGCCCCAGATGCGGATGTGCATATCCATATACAGGAATTCTAACTTTTAGAGGGATTTTCTTCTCAGACTTGAAAAACTTAACCATATATGAGGCTTTACAGACAAATCTGACATAGTTCTTCCAGGCCAACAAGCTTCCTGTTGATTCAGTTTCACTAAGTAATCCAAGAATGGATCCTTCTAGATATCTTTTATTGAACCTTAGTATCTTTCCATATGGCCAAGATAGTTTCAATTGAATAGTGGTTTTTACAATTGCATTTACATTTAGCAACCAATTTTACAAGCCACCATCTAATCTTTATGGACCTTATTTTTTTCGTGGTGATGATTACAACCACTTTTCAAGTATCTACACAATTATTATAGAACCGTAATGAACAGTTAAATTTAGCTCTATTTGATGTTAATCCACACTTCTATGTCATGTGGTTTCTTGAGACCATAAAGACTCTAAAAAATCAACTACTGGCATCATTATTGGAGCAGCTGTTGGTGGCTCTGTGCTTCTGGTACTTTCATTGCTTACTGGGGTTTATGCTTTTTGTCAAAAGAGGAAGGCAGAAAGAGCAATCCTAGAGAGCAACCCTTTTGGTATGATTAGCATTTATTTATTGTAGCATATTGCAATTGATTGCACACAAACTTCAAGTTTCTTGACGCATTCTCTGCTATACAAATGCAGCTCACTGGGATGTTAAGAAAAGCAATGGAAGCATTCCTCAGTTAAGAGGTGCAAGATGTTTCTCTTTTGAGGAGCTTAAGAAATATACAAATAACTTTTCAGAGGCCAATGATATTGGATCTAGGGGTTATGGAAAGGTGCCTTTTCCTCTCTTTGCCTAAATGTAAAATGATTATTCTTTCTTAAATAAAATTGTGTTACTAACCCCTTTTTATTTGAACTGATAATTTTACAACTCTCATGTATTGGTCTTAGTTACTATAGGCACATACATACATAACATTTCTATATACATAGATATGGAGTAAATAAGCCCTTGATAGAACTTTGGTGGCATATCCACCCCAGAACTTACAAATAGTAGCAAATCTCCACAAAGTGATAAAAATTGTTAGTTTATATTGGTCAATGTATAATTTATCTGATGTGGTATGATAGGCTGACTAAGGTCAGTCAACGATGTCCATCAACTTTGGGGAGATTTGCTGTTGTTTGTAAATTGTTAGGTGGATTCACCACCAAACTTTCATTAGGGACTTATTTGCTAGTAAAAATTATTTTAAAGGGCTTATTTAGCTATTATGCCAATAGAAAGTAGCCGTTTTAATTGGAACTTTTGTATTAGAAATTAATCAATGTATCCTCCAGGCCTGTATTTTATATTAGAAAAGTTCCATGCTAATTTTCGGCAACTATGCAGTATGATCAATGTTATGCTACTAAGTAGGTCATGAACATGATATGATTAACATAATCAATTTAACTTCAAACTTTTGTGAATCCAGCAGCTTATCACTGAAACAAATTACAGATTTGTCAACTTTCCAAGACTGCTGTTTCTTTTCTCAAATTTATATTTTTTTGTCTTCAATTGTTATCTGTGTTGCATTACATTATGTTACATGATTATTAAAGTTTCAATCTCCAATCAATTACAGGTTTATAGGGGAACTCTTCCCAATGGAGAGCTGATTGCGATCAAACAAGCCCAGCAAGGATCATTATAGGGTGGGCTAGAATTCAAAACAGAGATTGAACTTCTATCTAGAGTCCATCATAAGAATGTTGTCAATCTATTAGGATTTTGTTTTGAGCGAGGTGAACAAATGCTAATATATGAATATGTTCCAAACGGCTCTTTGTATAAAACTCTATCAGGTATGTTCCTCCATTTCTTCCAATCTTGACCCAACATGAATTACTTAATGAGTTATGTAGCTAGACAATATTTTTATAATTTACATATAGTATTGTTGAAAGAGCAAGAAACAACTCAAAAGGCTTTGTGATCACACCCTTCACATTTCTTGCATAACAAACTAGCCTATCAACGTTTAGCAAAAGCTCCATTTAATTTACTTCATTAGAAAGTTTCATACTATTTGCAGGAAAGTCAGGAATCAGACTGGACTAGACCAGGCGACTCAAAATTGCCCTTGGTGCAGCTAGAGGCCTGGCATATCTACATGAACTTGCTTATCCTCCCATCATACATAGGGACATTAAATCATCCAACTTATTATTGGATCAGCGCCTCGTTGCTAAAGTTGTCAATTTCGGTCTCTCCAAGCTTATCAATGAAAAAGGTCATGTTACCACTCAAGTCAAAAGGACAATGGTGAGTGTTTTTATACACCCACTTCAGTGGAATAATAAGGTTTAATTAGTTTAGTGACGATTCTTTACTATGCTAGAAGAATTTGATCATGCTTGTGGTTTTTTTATTGGTGTAGGGTGAGAATGGCATTGGATAAGACAAAAGACTTGTACAATCTTCAGCAGATTCTTGTCCCAGCCATTGTGGATACAAGCCTGAAAGGTTTAGAAAATTTTGTGGACCTAGCAATGACCTGTGTGGAAGAATCTGGAGCTAACAGGCCTACAATGGGTAAAGTGGTAAAAGAGATTGAAAATATCATGCAGACTATTGGGATGAATCCCAATGCTGAGTCAGCCACAAGTTCGTCAAGTTATGAGGAGGCATCCAAGGGAAATACCCTCCATCCATACAGTAATGAGTCCTTTGCTTATAGTGATTCATTTCCAGTTTCAAAAGTTTGAACACATGTTTGTTTTGTTTTGTTTTGTTTTTTTTTTTTGAACATATGTTGAGTTTGATTTTAGTTTAGTTTTTGGAGAATTGAACAGCTTGTGTCTAGAATTCAGTTTGACTAGAGGATATATATATATATATATTGGAAATGATGCTTATTAGCTTTACCTCCTAAAGATTAGGAGGAAAATCATCCAAAAATTATGTCGTTTCAATAAATTTTTATTAAATAAAACTAAATTACTTTATTTTTAAAGCATGCATTAAGATGATTTTTGTTTTTTTTTTTCCTAATTTTTTGGAGGTAAAGCAGATAAGCACTAACTCCATATATATTTGTGTGTTTTGTATTGTTTCTCTTTTGTTTGCTCCAAAGTTAAATGGATAGAAGATTGAATATTATTGTCATTGTGTAGAAAGACGTAAAATGCTTTTGGAGCTCCATGTCACCTAATTTTAATTCTGGTGTTTTAACTATTATTACACTCTTAAAATCATATCATCAAAGAACTATTTTTTTTGTTATAAAATAATTTTTTTAATTCAAAATTTAATCTAATTAATTATATTATTGTAAAATAGACAAAAAAAAAGTTTCTCTTATTTTAATTTTAAGTTTTTAATAAGAATAACAACAACAACAACGTAATGAAATAAAATGAACAACAACAACGTGATGAAACAAAATGAAACACAAACAAACCCTACTCTACTCTCTATTATTATTGTTCTCTTGGTTCATTGTCTCTGTGAGGCTCTGGGTCTCGGGCTCTGTGATGGGTATGGTAATAATAAGAGTAAGAACCTGTAAAATTAAAAATAAAATTTAAAGCTCTTTGTTTGCCTTCCCTATCCCATCAACCAGATCTCATCTCATCTCATCACCAAACGTAATTAAGAGCCTATTTGGTGCAGATTGTGGGAAGAGCTTTTTGGCTCGAAAAGCACAAGCTACACCAAATGGGTCAGCTTTCCAAACTGGCTGCAGCTTTTGAGAAGTTCAGCTTCTTGCCTTTCCTTTGCAAACCCCGGAAGCTCCCATTTCTTACTTCCGCGGGAGCTTCTCGCTTCTAATTTAATGAAATTGACATGGCCTCCCCATTTTATCCTCACATTTCCTTTTATTTATGAAAAAACTAGTATATAAAGGATCAATTTATAACATCAAACCAACCAGCCCCAGGCACATTCGTTTCTTCTTCCTCATCCAATCACAAAAACAAATCAAAAATACTCATCCAATCACAGAAACAAACCAAAAATACTTACCTATATTATTCCTCATCCAATCAAAGAAACAAACCGAAAGTACTTACCGTATTCTTCCTCATTTTCTTTCCCCCTAAATCGAAAATCACCTCAGCTTCCGTTTGGAGACGAACCCAGGAGCTAGGTTTGCGGCGAACCACGCGCTTGGGTTCTGAGACGAACCCAGCGCTTGGGCTCTGAGACGAACCCAGGAGGTTGGTTCGTCTCAAACCAGGCACGGGTTCGTCGCAAACCCCTCCCTTGGGTTC